AGGCAGCAGGGGCTGGGCCAGCACCATTCCAGAGACAAGGCCAGTGCATTATGCAAACTGGGGGACTCTCCTCTTCCTTCTCTCCCCAGTTCCGGCCCTGGCCAGGCCATGCTACACTAACCTCCCTCCCTCTCTCACTCTTTCGCCTCCCTCCCCCCTTTTTCTTCTTCCCTCCCCCTTCCCCCATTCCCTTGACTGTTCCACCCAGAAGGAGGAAACTTCACATAGCTGTGCTCACAGGTTTCTATTTTAGAGAATTTGGCTGGGAGCTAACCAGGGCTCTCTGTGATTGGAAGAAAGCTTTTGGTGCTTGTCCTCACAACCACCTTGGCCTGCCCACCCTGTCCTCCCGTCTCCTTTCCTCCTCCTGGGTTCATGTTGTAATAAAAGAAGATTGTTGGTGTGTAATTAATTTGTTGAAAAGCAAAAACAAAGCAAAACAAGAAACTTGGTTCCAACTGAAGCCTATTTTAATTTTATTTTATTATTTTCCTCTTGTTAGAAATAAAACCCTTAGCAACATTTTTTGGAAACATGTTTCTGAAGTGCATTTCTCTTCGAAGGGGCGACTCGGGCCTCCCTCACCTGTCAGTGGAGCAGCTGTAGTGTTGGCAGGGGCTCTGGGTCTGGAACTGCTCCACTAGCTTCTCCTTAACCCTGGGCACAACCTGCAGGTCCTCCTCCCACCACTCTGCGCCTGAGCCAGTCCCACCCCTGTCCCTAACAGGCTTCTGGCCCTGCTCACTGAAGCCCCTGCACAACAACCTCCCCCAACTTCATGCCCTCCTTTCTAGCCTTAGGCTCCCAGAGGGGTTTGCATCCCATGACATTGTGTTCATGTGGACAAGTCCATGGTTGGAAGGGTGTTCTCCAAAGTATAGATCTGAGCATGTCACTGCCACCTCCAGCCACCCTCGATGCTTCGTTGCTTAAGGTCAAGGTGAAGTGTGTGATCTCATACTTTCTGGAATGCTTTCCTGCCTAACTCATGCCACATACAGGGACCCTGCCCTGGTTTTCCTCCACTGATCTTTCTGCCCCCGATGTATGGGAGACTAAAGCTCAGACTGCAGTCATTTGCAAGCAGCCCTTGAGGTTGCTTTAAACTGCTTTAAATTGAAATAAAATTCACCCACTTGAAGTGGTTTTCAGCGTGTTCAGAGTTGTGCAACCATCACTGCAAAGCTTGTTTTAGGACATTTTCGTCACACCTTAGCCTTTGCCACCACCACCCTTGAGCCCTGATTCGCCTGTTCTGGGCTTCCTCTGTACATGGAGTCATCCGTGTGTCATCCTTCTTTGACTTAGTTGATGTTCAAGCCCATTAGTGCTCCTGTAGCAGTTGGACAGCTGTTCTCCCTTCTGGGCCCCAGGTTTGAGACAAGGGAGCTGAGCTGGCCCTGGTGCTGTCGGCAGGGATTGTTTGCTGCCTGTTTTTGTGGGTGGTTGCGTGCCTGTGTTTTTTCCCGCAAGAAGACTACCCAGCTTGCTTCAGAGTTATAAAGGGGCCTGTGACCCTCCAAAGGTTAAGATTCAGCCTTTGTGATCCTGAATGTAATGTGTTTGGAACCTGCCCCGGGTGCAAAGACAGGAGAGAGCAAGAGCATGTGAGTCCTGGTGCGCCAGCCGGCTTCCCATCATGCTGTGCTCCCTGGAGCTTTCCCTCCTCTTGGGCCTGCAGGGAGCATTTTAAGGCTGACGGCCAGGCCCTGACCCCTAGCTCGAGAGCTCTGCACACTACCGCTGTATCTGCCCTTCCTCAACTGAATGTCCAGCGGGTTAGTTTTGCTTCAGTTTTCCCCCCTCCAAAAATTTGCAGTTGCTAGGAACCTTGTGGTAAAAGAGCCCACCCTCTTAGACCACAGATTGGCAGGAGAGCCAGACTCATTCCTACCTCTTCCAGGTGGGGCGCTGAACTGGCTGGACACACAAGGACAGTCCAGGGCCAGTGGCCTACTCTGTCCTGGGCCCAATTTGCCCACAAGCCTAGTCTGGAGGCAAAAGCTGGCTGTTGCCCACCTAATCAACTGATCTTGATAAAAGGGTGGAGGGAGATGACAGGAGAGGAAGGGGCTAGACATGAGCACTTCACTGCCACTCCCTGTGCCAAGGCAGTCGGCCACCAGAAGCTGCTGGGTGAGGAAGAGACAGTGCCTACGAGCTGCTCGCAGGCTGGAGAACTCGGCACAGGACAGTCCTGCGGGTGCAGGCCCTTCCCCCACCAGCTTTCACCCACCATTCCCATCGTGGCACCTCCCACCCATCCCTCTCTCACACTCTGCCCCCAGTCACAGTGAGTATGTGTCTCAGGAGCTCTTCTGGAGGGGCTGTAGCTGCCATCCTGCAAGACCCAGATCCAATTGAACTTGCAGAAAACTTGCGTTCTGCATCTGTGCCCCTTTCCTAAGCACTCCTTTACAGAGGGGAGAGTGCCGAGCTCCGGGGAGCCCCAGGTGAATGAGGGGTGGGGAGGAGGCCAGGGGCGTCTTCCTGACTGGTTTTCTACGATAGAGGCACTGCCTTGCTGCCATGTCCCTCAGAATGGCTCCTGAGTCTGCAAGTGACAAGAGACTGGGAAGAGATGTCGCTGCTACTGATGACTTTCCCTAAACTTCTCCCAGACTCCACTGACTCCTTCCTTCCCTGCTTTAGTGCCTTCACTGGGCCTCATGTGATGTCTGAAACACTCCAGGATTGATGGGTCTGTCCCTTCCCATCCCTGGGTGGGGGTGGGGGGTGAGGGGAAGGCTTGAGTCCCCTGTCTTGACTTGCAGACCAGAGGACGCAAGAGCCCCACACTGTGCACGTGAACTCTGCACTACATGAAGTTCATTGGTGAGACTGGCTTTGTGGCACAGTGGACTAGGCCACCACTTGGGACCCCAGCATCACAGATCAGTGCAGCAGTCTGAGTTCCAGCTACTGTGCTCCTGATCCAGCTCCCCACCAATGTGCCTGGGAAAGCAGCAGAAGGTAGTCCAAGTATTCGGGCTCCTGCCTCCTGCGTGGGAGACCCAGTTGGAGTTCCTGGCTCCTGGCTTTGACCTGGCCCAATGCCAGCCATTGCAGCCATTTGGGGAGTAAACCAGTGGATGAAAGACATTCTCTCAACTGTGCCTTTCAAGTAAATATTTCTCGAAAAATTCATCGGTACAGTCCATGTTGCTGAGGTTGTGCAATATCTCCTTCCTCGTCTGTGTTTGTAATGTATTGCTGCATAACAAATCGCTTAGAGTTTAGTGGCCTAAAACATCTAGACCAGTTCCTGTGAGTTAGGATTCTGGGTGGACTTCAATTTCAGGGTCTCCCTTAGGCTGCCATCGAGGTGCAGCTGGAGCATAGTCACCTCAAGGCTCAGTTGGGGAAGGACCTGCTTCCAAGCTTGCTCACACAGCTATGGGCAGGATTCAGTTCCTGGCAAGGTGTTGGCCTAAGGACTTCTGTTTATTGCTGGCAGTTGGCCAGGGGTCACTCTCAGATCCCTTGCCCGTAGACCTTTCCAAAGGGCAGCTCACGACACGGCGGCTTGCTTCATCAGCGCAATCAAGTGAAGTGAGTCAGGCAGAGAGAATGAGGCCGAGTGCCCACACTGCACGAGAGCAACCACACGGTCTTTAGCCCGATCTTGGAAGTGACAGCCCATCACTTTTGCAATCCATTGGAAGTAAGTCACTAGGTTCGGGCCACACTCAAGGGGCGGGGACTGCACAAGGGTGTGACTGCCAGTGGGCGGGAACCATTGAGGGCCATCTTGGAGACAGACTACTTTAGCTGGTCCTCTGCTCCCTGATCTCATGTCCACATCTCATGCAAAATACATTCACTCCATTTCAAGGTCTCTAAAAGTCTCATTTCAACTGCAGCGTCTCCTCAAAGTCCAGAGTATCATCTAAATCAGGTCCAGGTGGGAATGAGGCTCCTTACATGTATTCCTTAAGGACAGCTCCTTAAATGCTTTTTTTCCCCATTTGTAGATCTGTGCAACTTACAAGGCAAGTTGCCTGTCCCCAACACACCCAGTATACAATAGTGGAACAGACAGGGCAGCTGCTCAGTTCAGATGAGAGGCACAAAGAATGGCTACGGGTCTCAAACAATTCTGAAGCCCAGCTGGGCAAATGAAAGTTCCTTGATCTGCTTTTGAGGCCCGGGAATAATGTTCCATGGTTTGTGGCTCCGCCCTCTGGCCTCTTCCACTCTGTGCCTTCCTTCCTTTCCCAAGGGAGACAGGAGATGTTTGCAGCTAGGCAGTTTTGCCAGTTTGCTTCATGCCAGAAGTTTAGGGGTGCAATAGCTTCGCTTCATTTTTTTTCTTTTTTATTAGAGCTGCAGAGAGAAAGGGAGAGACAGAGAGGAAATCTTCCATCTATCCACTGGGTCACTCTCCCAGGTGGCTACAATGGCCAAGGCTGGTCTAGGCCAAAGCCAGAAGCCCAGGAACTCCATCCAAGTCTCCCAAATGGATGACAGGGACCTAGTGACTTGGGCCATCTTCTGCTGCCCTCCTGGGTTCATTAGGAAGCTGGATAAGAAACGGAGCAGCCAGGACTTGAACCAACAATCTGATATGTGATGCTGGCATTGTAGGCAGCAGCTTAACCTGCTGCACTACACCACTGGCCCCCATCTTTTCATTTTTTACTGTTTCTGTAACAAGCTGCCTCCAAAAAATAGTTCCCTAGAGGGGCTTGGTGTTTGTCTTCTGTTGGCAGGCTGGGTTCTCAGCAATGACTATCACAAGGCTGGTCTTGATAGCAATCCATATTGTGGAGCTTGTGCCTGCTACCACGAGCATTTTGTTCAGGAGTCCATTGAAAAAGATGTGACAAAGTAAGTTGAAATTAGCTGACGTCCACAGAACGGGACATTTTGTCTACCTCTCTGGGCTCCTCTTCCACCGTGGATTCTCTCTGGTGCTTGTTTGTGTGGGACATGTATGTGTTCCTACCCTGTGCCCATTCATCCGTATTCGTCTCCCTTGGCCCTCCTTAGCAATAATATTTCTTTCTTTCTTTCTTTTTTTTTTTTTTGGCAGGCAGAGTTAGACAGTGAGAGAGAGAGAGAGAAAGAGAGAGACAGAGAAAAAGGTCTTCCTTCTGTTGGTTCACCCCCCAAATGGCCACTACAGTCGGTGTGCTGTGCCAATCCGAAACCAGGAGCCAGGTACTCCTGGCTCCTGGCTCCGGATCTGTTGGTTTCGGCCACTTGGAGAGTGAAACAGTGGAAGGAAAATTCTCCCTCCCCCCCGGCCTCTCTGTAACTCTGCCTTTCAAATAAATGAATGAATGAATGAATGAATCTTTAAAAATAAATGTCAATAATCAGCTTGAGAGATAATCTGATCATTATTTTTAAAAAAGAAAGCAACGTCATGTGTGATCTGATCCCATTCTGCCTGGTGGACCATAGAGACAGTCTGGGTTACCAAGGAGTCACATTAACTCCAAAGCAATATCCAGTGTATTCCAAAAGCTGTGACTCTGCCTGTCCCCAGAGCACAACTGCCCGGGCTGCAGGTCCCTGTGGGGAAAGCAGGGTAGGAGCGACCCAGCACACGCACTCGTGAGAAATGTAACAAGGTTCTTCCTCAAACAGGCTCTCCCCTTATTTCGATGGCTTCTAGTCCATGATCTGAGGGAGAGGCTGGGACTCTACGCTTATCACACTATAAGATTTTTATTTTTCCTTTCTTTCTTTCTTTCCCTCCTTTTTTTTTTTTTTTTTTTTTGCCATATAACAAGTAGGACTTTCTGGAAATGATGCTTCCTTAGCACTTGCGGATCTGCACACGTCACACCAGCTGAATGACTTGCTGTGGCTCTGATGTCCATTAGAGGAGCCGGACCCAGGAGCCAGCATTCTGATGCAGTGTGTTCAGCCACTGCCTGAGATGTCAGTGTCCCATATCCAAATCCATATCAAGTCCCAACCGCTCTGCTTCTGATCCAGCCTAGTCTGTCTGCCACTGCTTTCACTGGCATATTACCTGGCAGCTGGACAGGAAGCAGAGCAGCTGGGATCATATGGGATACCCACGTGGCAGGCAGCAGCTTAACCAGCTGCACCACAACCCCACTCCCAAGATTTGTACACTCAAATTATAAAGCATTGCTGAAAGAATTTAAGGGAGACCTAAAGAAATGGAAAGGCATCCCACATCTGTGGATTGGAAAATTTAGTATTATTAAGATATTAGTAGTAGCCAGAACAATCAACAGATTCAATGCAGTGCCTGTGGAAATTTGAACAGCCTTTTGGCAGAGATGGAAAACTGGTCCTCAAATTCACATAGCATTTCAAGGGACTGTGAGTAGCCTAGACAATCTGGAAAACGAACAACAAAATCACATGGACAATTGATTTTCGCCAAGAGTGCCAGGTCCTTTTGATAGAGGAGAGAATAGTATCTTCAATAGATAGTGTTGGGACAACTGGATTTTCACATGCAAAAGACTGAAGTTGGATCCCTACCTCATACCAGATGCCATCAACTCAAAACGGGTGAATCACCTAAATTGAAAAACTAAAATTTAGGGTTTTATCTTCATGACCTTTGACTTTGCATAAATTCCTAAATATGACATCAAAAGGATGTCAAAAAAATTGGACTTCATCAAAATTAAATTTTTTGTGTGCAGCAAATGACATTATCAAGAAAGGGAAAAGATAATGGACAGACTAAGAGAACATATTTACAAATCATAGATCTTATAAGGATTTACTATCCAGAATATGCAAGTCAACAATAAAACAATTTTTTAAAAGACATTTCCTTATATAATCACAATATCCTTAGTACACTCAACAACTGACAATCATTCCTTAATACAATCATATTCAAACAAATGCCACCATATTAAATTTTCCCAAAATTAACCAACAAGTATCTTTTAATAGTTTGAATGTTTGATTTAGGATCCAAACACCGACTTTTTCTGTAACCATGTACTCACTTCTCCTTAAAATTTCACCATCTAAGTATGAATTCTTGCCTATATAGTTTTAATTTTGCCTGTTTTTTTTTTTTTAATTTATTTATTTATTTATTTTTGTCTGAAAAGTAGAAAGAAAGAATGCGAGAGCACCAGCTCTTCCCTCTGCTGGTTCATTCCACAAATGCCTACAATATCCAGGGCTGAGTCATGTCAAAGCCTGGATCCTGGAACTCCATCCATGTCTCCCACATGAGTGGCAAGGACCCAAGTACTCGAGCTGTCACTTGCTGCCTCCTCGGGTGTGCATTAGCAGGAAGCTGGAATTGGGTGGGATTGAGACTTGAAACCAGGCACTCTGACATGGGATGGCAGCATCCCAAGCAGCATCTTAACTGCTGGGGCAAACACCCACCCCTCGATTGGTTCTTAACATCCCATAAATGGAGTCATAGGGTATGTATTCTCTGGTGCCTGTTCATTCAGCATTTTCATACTATTTTATTGAACCTACTCTAATTTGCTTACCAACCCGACTTCTGAAACAGGTAGAGGTTGTTTCTGATTTTTGTCTACATGGCCAATGCTGCAAGAACATTTTTGTGCATGTCTGTGGGTAAGCATTCCTTTCTGTAAGGTATTTGCCAGGAAACAGAATTGTTGGGGGCAAAAGGGTAGTCACATCTTCAGCTTTTCTATTGATGTTTAGCTTTGTGGAAGGAGTGTTCCTGATGGCTATTCTGCCCAGCAGAGGAGGAGAGGCATGGTTATTCCTCGTCTTTCCCTATCCTCAGCACTGTTCATTCCAAATTTTGCCGGTCTGAGGACTGTGAAATGGTATTGCTCGTGGTTTATATTGGTATTTTCCTGATAACAAATGAAGCTGAGCACCTTTGCATATTCTCACTGGCTGCTCACGTCCTCTCTTAGGAAAAATGCCTGCTGAATTGTTTCCCATATTTTTCAACTGATTTTTTAACATATATTATATACATATATATATATATCTTTTGCTAAATTATAGGACTTGATTTTGTCATCTGCAAATGAAATCTTTTATGGCTTTAAGTGAAGCAGATATAAGATCATCTTCCCTTTGCTGTGGGTTTGTCTTTGCACTGTGTATGGTGTCACTGGGAGAAAAGAAGTTACTGTTTTTGGGTGCAATTTTATTAGTCTTTTCCTTTCATGGTGCATACTTTTGGCATCTTGCTTAAGAAATATTTTACCACTCCAATGTCAAGAATATTCTCATGTTATTTTTTGTTTGTTTTTCACATTTAGCTGTATGGTCTACTTGAGAATTATTATTATTTTTTTTTAATGTATGATGTGAGGTTAAGATTTGATTTAGTTTCAGTTTTAGTTTTTTTTTTTTTTTATCCTGGACACCCAATTGTCTGAGCTCCATTTACCAGAAATACTGCCCTGCTACAACTGTTGCACAGGGCTAACATTTTGTTAAATCAAGTGTGCATACATGCATGGCTCTTTCTCAAAGCTGTTCGTTCAACTGGGCTATTTTTTCCAGCCTTGTTCTGATACCACAGATGCATAACAACTTCAGATAGAGTGAGTTCTCCCATATAGTTCTTCTTCAAGAGTTATGGCTGATCTATAATTTTTGAGAGGGTGTACGAGAGGATGTGGGACGGAGAGGAGGAGGGAGAGGAGGGAGGGAGGGAAGGGGGGAGAGAGAGAGAGAGAGAGAGAGAGAGAGTGTCTTCCATCTGCTGTTCACTCCTCAAATGACCACAACAGCCAGGACTGGGCCAGGTTGAAGCCAGGAGGTCCTTTGAGGCCTCACACGTGGGCGCAGGGGCCCAAGGACTTGGGGCATCTTCTGCTGCTTTCCCAGGCACATCAGCAGGGGGTGGGATCAGAAGTGGAGCAGTGGGGACTCGAATTGGTGCTGCAGAAGGTGGCTAAACCGACTATGCCACAGCGCCGGCCACTCAGCTACATATTTTTCACAGCTACTATTTTCATTTTTCTGTGCCTAAGGGAAGACCCCAGGAAGAAGGTGGTCGTGAGCTGCCTGGAGAGATAGTAGGGCTTTGGCAGGTTCGAAGATGCCAGCCAGGCCTCATTGTCTGGTGAAAACTAACCTCTCCGGGCCCCCTGAAGGGCAGCATCCGCTGTTTGGTACCTGCTATCAGGATGGTGGGTAAACAGCTTGGCCTTTTCCCTGAGACCAAGGCTTAAGGTCAGGCTGGGGACCAGCACCTAGTGCATCCATCTCTTTATGCCTTCCCTAACCACACACCTCAGCATCTCCCACTGGGCCTGTCCTGCTGTGCGCCCTCTCTGTCCCTCGCTCAATCTATAGCTTGGTCTGTGACGTCACCAATATGACCCCTCCACACAATCAGCCATTGCTGAGGCCCAGGTGGGGCGGAAGAAGGCCCAGGAGGAGCGGGCACATTAAGGTCTCAGCGGCAACATGGCCCTGGCTGTGCCGCTGGCTTTCATCTCAGTGGGGCGTGCGGGGGCCGAGAAAGGCACAGGAAGAGGACTTGGTGAAAGCATGTATTCTTTCGTATTTATTTTATGGACTTGTGACGCATAAGAAAGCACACCGTCCTAGGGAAGATAGCACCTCTTTCATTTTTATGACTGTCTAAACAAACTGTTTTCCATCCTTAATGTCCTCCTGGGGACACACATTTTGTGTTACTTTTTTGTGCTGGAAATGGCCACGCACAACTCCTGACCAAGACTCTTTACCGACAATCTTTTCAGATTCTTGATCATTGCTATTAATGAGAAATATGTTTTGTTCAAGTAGGTGGTGGTAAATGGAAAAGAATATATAGTTTTTTTCTCCCCTCCATTAGCCAGAATTTTCATGTCATTCTTGGAATAAGTTGAACCCATTTTTTAAAACATGCAGTTATTTTTTTGAAAGGCCAAGTGAATCACCTGCTGCCTTCCCCAGGTGTGCATTAGCAGAGAGCTGGAACCCAGCAGAGTTGGGGCTCAAACCCAAGCACTTTGATTTGGAATGAAGGCTTCTTAAGTGGTGTCTGAACCGCTGCATTAAATACTCGGATCATGCTTTCCTGTTGGCCAAAAGTTACTGTGGAACCCTCGCCACTAAATTAGATAACCTGTACACAGTGGAGGACAGATGCTTCTCAACTTAAGGATTTTTGGAAGCTTGAAAATATCATGAAGTCAAAGTTGCATTTAGTACACCTCACTTCCTGACTATCCTAGCTCAGCACACATAGCAGCCCAGAGTATCAGTTGTTAACCCTGGTGATGGCGTAGATGACTGGGATCGGCCATTTGCTGCCAATGCCTGGCATTCCGAGGGGGTTGCACCCTCACCTATCACTTGCCTGGGAGTATCTGACCTGGCTAAGGCCACTGCTCAGAGACCAATGTGCCAGCAGCAGAGAGCAGCACTGTGTCCCCAATAATGACACCATGGCACGGGACGGTCAGCCAGCTAACTTGTGGCCTGTCAATTCCTTTGGACTTCTCCCATCACAGAAGGAGCACCCTTTTGTTATTATTCAAATGGACACTACGGATACAGGTTTCCAGTTTCTGCTAAAACTACCACCCATGAGTTTACAGAATGTCTTATCCCACTGCCATGGTAGTCCACAGAGCATTGCTTCTCACTAAGTACCCACTTCACAGCCAATCAAGTAACAGCGACGGCTACGTGCCCATGGCATTCAGCAGTGTTTTTTTTTTTTTTTAAGATTTCATTTATTTATTTGAGAGCTAGAGTTACAGTGAGAGGGAGAGACAGAGAGAGAGAGGTCCGGTCACTGGTTCACTCCCCAAACAGCGGTGACGGCCAGAGCTGGGGCGATCCAAAGCCAGGAGCTTCCTGCAGGTCTTCCATGTAGGTACAGGGGCCCAAGGACTTGGGCCATCTTCTACTGCTTTCCCAGGCCCTAGCAGAGAGCTGGATCGGAAGTGGAGCAGCCAGGTTTTGAACCGGTGCCCATAAGGGATGCTGGCGCCTCAGGCAGAGGATTAACCTACTGCGCCACGGTGCCCGTCCCTGCATTCACCAGTCTTACAGTGTTCCTTACCATCCTGGCTTCACAGAGAACAATTGAAGGGCTTTTTCAAGACTTCGAGCACCAACTAACATGCAATACCTTGTGGGGCTGGGGCAAGGTTCACCAGAAGGTTGTTTATGCTCTGAATCACATTCCAATATATGATGCCATTTCTCCTGCAGCTAGATTTACAGTTCCGGGAATCAAGCACTGCTCACTATTATCCCTAGTGACCCGCTAGTGAATTCTTTTTCTCAAAGATTTATTTTATTGGGGGCCGGTGCTGTGGCGCAGTAGGTTAATCCTCTGCCTGAGGCGCCAGCATCCCATATGGGCACTGGTTCTGGTCCCAGCTGCTCCTCTTCCGATCCAGCTCTCTGCTATGGCCTGGGAAAGCAGCAGAAGATGGCCCAAGTCCTTGGGCCCCTGCACTCATATGGGAGACCCGGAGGAAGCTCCTGACTCCTGGCCTCGGATCAGCTAGGAGTCAGGCCATCTGGGGAGTGAACCAGCTGCCATTAGCAGCCATCTGGGGAGTGATCCAGTGGATGGA